CTGGTTGATCATGCTAACTTATTATTACTGTTGTTGTTGTCGTCGTAGTAGTAGTAGCCACTTGACTTTTTCCGTATTGATGAACCGGGAAAATACGAGAGCAAAAAAAAAATAAAAAGGAAGCAGAATGAGAGAGAGAGAAAAAAGTCAAAGTATGTGCCATCCGATCTTTCACATTCATTGTTCATATAAAATCATCAACGAACGGTTCTATCGAAATAAAGTAAAAAGTTGTTAAATAAATATTTGTCTCTTAACAAATAGAAAAAAAAACTTATAATCATCACACACACTGGCAGCAATCACACATTTTAAAAATTCTCGTTCGTCTATATCCATCAACAGCACTACTGATGAGTGTTGTACCATCAACAGGTAATTGTCTGCATGAATCCTTAGCAATTGATTTAGAAGAACATACTTGAGATCAAGATCATTGCCTATTTGTAAATTTATTTGAAATGCCTGCGAAAAAAAAAAATTCTAATTTTTATTTTCTACTTTTCTTTTTGTATTTATCGCTCAAACAATTCATTGATTGTTAATATACCAACGAATTTGTTGATATAAACTTTAGTGTTATTAACTTGGATGACCTTCTTGTTACATGTGAATTAAGTGAGATCTATTAATAGATATGATAAATATAGAGTATATATATATTCATAGTGTTGTCGTTTGTATTTCATCATATTTTAATGTCTGTAACAAAATTTTTTATCAAAAGCTTTAATATATATATGAGAATATTTGACACATGTTTCTCTAATTGTTTTTCTTTCTTTCTGTCTCTTGTGCTCTATAGACAATAAATGAGTTCAATCACACATGTTATTACATCTATGGAGTAAAATATATATGAGGGAAAAAAAGAGAGAAAAAGAAACAGACATTCTCATTGAACTTGTTCGAATTCTTTTACATATATTGAATAACGTCAGTGATGATGGAAAGAAGAAAAAAAGGGAATAAAAACGTCTACTTATTGAATACTCTTACTAAACAAGTTGTATAACTATTGCACATGCATTCTTCCTAGCACACCAATCAGTATAATCTTCTTGCATTGTTACTGTTGTGTAGGTCGACAACAACGAGTTCGAAGGTAATCTACCGCAGACGACGACGTAAGTCGATACAGTCTGATAAAACTGTGCCCTCATGCGCATGCGAATGTGTACACACACACACACACAGATATCTATAACGATTAGTGGATCTCTATATTTCTCTTTGCCCGGTACTGATGACGTCTTTTGGTTGATCGGGTATGCGTACGCAATAGTTGCATCATAATGATCTGTCGTCAATCGTATAGAATGATGGAACAAATTTTCTCTCTCGCTCTCATTGCTTTTGCCAACATTCATGAACAGTAACACCCTAATATTGTAGTCATATAACTATATGATCATGCAGACGTAACAAAGATTAATTTTTTTCTTTTTCTATTCTATTCTCAACAATTTGGTTTTCTTTTTCTTTTTTTTGTTTCTTTAAAAAATAATTCTCTATGGAAATTTGATGTTCGTTTTATTTTATTTGTTCTCTTTTGTTAAGAAAACCTTCAAAGTTTTTTTTTTGTCAAAAGATGTGAAGACATACATATCGTTTTTCTCATACAAATATCTCATAGCAATCTAAAGGTTTCTTTCCTATTCTACATATATATGTGAGTGTGACCGAACAAGGTCAATATTGTGATTTAAATAGATTTTCTTTTTTTTTAAATTAATTCAAATTGAATTTTTTTTTTCAATTTATTTATAAAAGAAAAACGAACTAAAACGGTAAAGTTATTGATCAATGTTCATTTCCTCTTTTCTCACATATAATGATGAAGAATATACATAAAGCTATTCGTCATCGCTTCTGACCCTCTTATTCTCTCTCTCGTTCTCTTTATCCTCCCTCTATCCATACATAAATCAATTTCGAGCCTCGAGACTCATACAACGATATACACTCTATATACGCCCTCTCGTTCGCTCACGCACACCCTACATATACACATAATCGATGTTAATCCATTCAGTGAACCTGCTGGTTTCGTTGAATATCGATATGTCGCCATGAATGTATATTATAGAAGTATATATGTATATATATATATGTATATATATATCTATATATTATTTTAGAGAAGAAACTGATCAGACAAATCTTCAATCAAACGAGGTTATAACAATGCGTACCAATACAAATGAAATAAATATTCATTTACTACTATCAAATGACATAAATCGTTTGAGAGAAACAGGTTTATGGAAAATACATATGTATATATGTTACAGTTCTTTTAATTCATTCAATTTATTTTAGCCTTGTCAAAATTATTAAAATTAACTCAACAAAATTGTAATCATGATAGTATGCATAATCATGAAACTATGTAAGTGTGTGCGTGTGCATGTGTGAATAGGAGTATATCAATTATATTGATTGTAATTGATTTAATTAGAACTTTGACAAAATTAAATAAACTTCCGAAATCAATAACATGGAAAGGTAAACGTGTATTCGGTGTTCCTTTACGTGTTTATCAGCAGACAACAGGGCAAATTCTGCCTGTAGCTATTACTAATGCATTACAATATGTTCGTATGAATGCAGGCAAATGTGAAGGACTATTTCGTAAACCAGGCGTTAAATCAAAAATAGATCGTCTACGTTCACAAATTGAAACAACAAATGATTTCAATGGAGATTCATCATTAGAAACAATTAAATTTGATGAATATCAACCATTTGTTGTTGCTGATGTTATTCGACAATATTTTCGTGAATTACCTGAATGTCTTATGCCACCAGCAATTACACGCTTACTATGTGATTTACTTAAGTGTAAAGTCTTTTATTTTCTTTTTCTTTTTCTTTTTCTTTTTTATTCCATCAATAAAATTATGTTTTAGGTGTAACACAAGAAGAACAATTATTAGCAATACGTTATGCTTTTCTATTATTACCAGATGAAACTCGTGATGTACTTGAAACGATTCTTCGATTTTTACTTGACGTTTCAATACGATCTGGTAATAGTCAGGTAATTAGATAAAAGAAATCTTCATATATATATAAAAATAGATTTTAATTCTTCGTTCTATTTTATTTATCTTTAAAAGACAACTTGTCGAAGTTTAGCACGTATATTTGTACCATCTGTTTTTCAATCTTATCATGATATGCATAATACGTCATCAAAAGTTCTTTGGTGGAAATGGAAAAAAGATAAATTAGATGCAATACAACAAGAAAGTGAACGTTTAACACTTGAGCTTTGCTTAATGACAATGATACTTAACGTTGATTTACTTTGTCGAGTATGACATATATATGAAACATATTTTATCATGAACTCTAATTTATCTATTGTAAATATAGGTTCCTAGTTCAATTACTGATGAACTTAAATTACCAACACCAAGAAAAACTAAACGTCTTGATGATCTTGTTCGTAATGCATGTAATGGAGAATTCCATATGAAAAAATATATAGCAAAAGATAGTGAACAATTTTTACAAGTAAAAAAATTGTTTAAATAATTTTGAAATTTTTATTTATTTATTTATTTATTTATATATTAGTGTTTATCAAATACAAAGTTTAAAAATGTTCAAACAAATATTGATGGTGTTCATGTATCTATACATAAACCATCAACAGTAAATTGTGATAATGATGAAATTAATTTACCTATATGGAAATGTTCAATTGATATACCAAATACAAATGTTAAACAAGTTAGTCAACGAATTTTACATGAACGATATTTATGGGATAATCATTTTGCTGAAAGTCGAACAGTTGAAAAAATTGATGATGATAAAGAAATAGTGCAATATGTACTCAATTTTCTTGATCTTGTACCTGTTCGTTCATTTTGTGAATTTCGGTAATATTAATTTATATAATCGTTTTTTTATTTTTTCTTAAAAATATTTTCATATATTAGTTTTTCAAAAAAAATTGCATCACGTTCAATACCTGATACGAATGCAATGTTAATTAGTGCTGTATCAATTGATCATTTACAAAATCATTTTCTACCAGGCAGTATTGGCATAACGAAAGATATGCATTATTATATAACACCATCAACAACTCAACCTGGATATACGACTGTTATTCAAGTAGCTTGTATTGATTTTAGGTAAAGAATTTTCTTTTTTTTGAAAAAACTTAATTTAAGAAAACAAAAATGTTTTGTTTTTAGTGGACGATCATCTCAATGGTATGAAAATGTTTTTGGTTGTTTATTAGCACATAATCTTATATCATTACGAGATACATTTACAAACTCAAAAATTGTTAAAGTTTAAAAAACAAATAAGATAAAATATCTTCATTGGCATTCCTTAGATAAAAACAAACAGAAAAAGAAGAAGACGTATTCTTCTTTAAAATTTCGCTTTCGTTTTCATTTTTGGCGTTTTAGTTCAAAAACAACAAAAAAAAAGGATTAAATTATGGTATTTCCTCTTAAAATTCTAAGAGGAGAAAGAGACATTTTATTCTTTAATCCTTTGTTATTATTTTCTCAAAATACCGTCCTTACTTTTCATTTTCGACCATTCACGCGCATTTATCTTTCTTCTTTTTTTTTCTCTTCTTGCTTTATACAAGACGACCTTTTTTTTTCTCTGTTTTTCAATTTAATCTTTCTTAATAATCTCTTGTTTTCTAACAAAATTTCTTATGTTCAATTTTTTCTTTTTTTTTTCCTTCCTTTCGTTTTTTTTGCTAATTCAAGTAAAAATAATTAAACAGTTAATGACATATCTTCTTTCGTTTTTTCAATGAGCAAATATTTTTATATGTTTAATATGGATACAAAAACCAAACAAAACAGAAAAATCAATATGATAAAATGAAAAGAAAACACAAGAGATTCATATTATAATACTTTTAATTTAAAATTAAATCACACCTGTGTTACATATATATGTGTGTGCTTTAAAAGATGATATCGGATAAACCGGAACATAAGCTTTTCTTTAAATTATACAAGTGCCTCTTTTGTTTCATTATAATGTATAATACACCAATGTTTTTTTCTTGTACTACGATGACCACCACCAATAGTTGTATGTTTATTCGGACTCATAACAATTGTTATTGGTTTATATCGTAAACTTCGTCGATGATGTGCCATAGATGAAAATGTTTTAACACTATGTCGTAAACTACTAAAGCGACGTAACGTTGCTGGTGTTTCAGGTGGTTTCAATTCATATATTTCTGTTTTTGTTATTGTACGACGTGATTGATTTAAATCATAGCAAGCGGAACGTTTGCCATAACATGTACCCATTTCGATTAAATTAACTGAACCTATAAAAATATATATATATATATATATATTCTAATAAATATCAATAAGATATGAATTTTCATACATACTGATAATGTTTTGTTAATCATTATCATAATTGATTGTGAATAAGTATAAGGAAAAGAGTGATCTTGTCGCTTGTCAAGGTCACTTGTGTATGATGTTTTCTTCAATATGACAAAAAAAGAAACAAGAAAAATGTATGCACACTACGGTCAACTGAAACACACTTTCGATCGATTGTGACCGAACGTAGTCTTATTCGCTTTATACTATTGAACGAAAGAAGAAAAAAGTGAGAGAATAAGCGGATGACCGATCTAACGGCAGAAGGTAAAAAGAAAAAAAAACGAAAGAGTGAAAAAGAAGAATTTCTTTCTCTTTAAAACGATTTAGATAGTTGAAATAAGTCTAAATTCAATTTGAACATAACAATCATTACGCAAAGTTCATTTGATAACAATGGTGAATAACACCTTTCATTTGTCTACTCGACGTATAAGTAAATATCAAATAACTATGAGATGTTCGTTTTTTCCATTTTTTTTCATACATGCGTGACATATAAATGTTGAATGTCTTGTTCATTGATCAAAACTAAATTAACTAAATTCTATAGAATTTTATTGACATTATGATTCAATCTTTTTTCTTTTTTATTACTAAATTTAATTGTTTGAAAGATACTTGTTGCAATGATCAGTATAAGTTGATTATATAAGCAGGAAAAGTTATGCTTTTTTAACCTCAGGGTCATAGTTAACGTTGAAAATGCGAATATAGTCAACAAAATCATTACTATTCATTTGATATATTTGCCGCAAGCTAAATAAGAACTTACGTATTATAATATATAGATACAAAAGTTCAATTTATTTGTTTCTTGTTCAATGAATTTCATACACGTATTGGTTTTATATGATTATAATAATAATAATTTTTTTTTTGAAAAGTATTTAATCAACCGTTTTATTTAATGATCAAATGAAAAAAAAAACGAAGTCTATTTGATTTACATTTATTTATTCATAATGAAAACTCATGTGAAGAGAAATGTCTTTGACAAGATGTAATTGAAAAACAGACTCAAAATATTATTATCTTTTGAAGATTACCATTTTAGTAATACCAACAAGTATAAAATTAAAAATGATTTACGAAATAAAAATTGATCTATTGATCTAATAGCAGAAAGGCCGAAAAAAAATACATTCGTTCATGTATCTATTCCAATCAAACTTCTCAGTGCTATTGATACTGAATTACTAAAAGCAACATTTTTGAACGAAAAGATCAAAAATAAAACAAAGACGAACTTGTTAAAAGTCATCTTGATCTTTCTAATATTATATCTATCTATTTTGATTTGATTTTTGAAAGAATATCTAAACAATAATTTGATTTTTTTCTTTTCATTGTATTTCTGTTTTTTTTGTAATATTGTATTATCAATATATAAACTCTTGTTGTTAATGCAATCAGAAATAGTATTAAGAAGATTTTATCAACAAAAACAAAAGAAGATAAAAAAAAACACATGATACAAAAACGATAAATATTATCAAATAATGAGTTACAAAAGAAAAATATTGTTATATAGAAAAAAACAATACGAATACTTCTATGCGATCGATTGATTGATTTTAGAAAATGTTTTATCAATCATATTGTATTCAATAATGATAATGCTTGTTGGAATTCATTAAATAACTAATTTATTTAGTTTTTATTATATCAAAATATTTCTATTTTGTATTCAAGTCATTTTCAAAAAAAAAGATTAAATGTTGTTATTCGGAAGATCAATCATTAAGCAAGCCTATATGGAAATGAGGCAATGTTTTAATTCGATAAAACATTAGCAAATCACTCACAATACATCACTACTCATGCTTAATTGAATTCTGAAGCTCTTCAGATATCGATGAATTGTAGAAAGAAAACTAAATCATGAAGATTATATCAACAATTCAAGACAGAACTATATGTCAATTGATCATCAGAGATTCGCTTCAATTTAACATGAATGTTGTCTGTTATATTGAACAGATAGAATATCACATTGATAATACTATTAAAATATGAAATTAATTCTATTGATAAGTCCAATATTATGTTTTATCAGTATAATTAATAGAAACTTATTCTATTTCAAAACAAGTATAATAGAATAATCAGTTAAAGTTTACTGATTTATAACTATTTTGAAAAATATTTTTTTGAAAATATTCTAATTTCAAAAACTTGAAATTTATGCAAAGAATTGAAGTATCATCTTCAACGAGATCAATTGTAATTGTCTGACTACAAAACCTTCACATTTTAAAATCATTTAGCTCTGTTACAATATTTTTATAAACAGAAGAAACTAACTAACCTAACAAGGAAACATTCAACCGTTGGATGCCATTTGAATTCTAATTATAGCTACGAATAGATCATAATAAGACTAAGATACGCTTAAAATGAATTCGAACCTATGACCTATTGATAAAGTTTTATGTTTGTTTTGATGAAATTTTTATTGAGAACACAGGGTATTTCCGAAAAATCCGAAACAAAGACTTTTGATCTGAAATCTGCTTATGGATATTATTGATAGTCTTGAGAATTTTAACGAAAACGAATATGTCTTTCTCGAGATATTCATTTTTAAAGTAGATTCGAACATTGTGTCCACCTATGAAAAATCACTTTTTTTTTGACATCTCGAAAACGACATGTTCGTTCTCGTTAAAACTTTCAAGACTATCAAGTGTGTCTATAGATAAAATTTCAGGTCAAAACGTTTTTCTCAATGTAAAAACATTTACTAAGACGGCCATAACTCTTGATCAGTAGCAGAGACGTCCTAAGACTAGCAAATTGGGTAAGATGTTGACCCTTATACAGTAGGCAATGTCTGTCGTATACATGAACATGATTTGTTGCCTGTTAAATACTGGTTTTTTTTTCGAAGAGATATTAGATTATTGTACTAAAAAAAAAAGATCCGGGAAAAAAGCATTGACGATGAAAAATCTCCAAAAAGAAGCTTTACCCTAAACTCCTATGAAAAACAATTTTATTTTAAATATTGTCCAATGATACATTTCGCGAGACAATTTTTTAAGCTGATTTCAAATATGTCTTTATTCTTCTCTTAACATGCTTCTGTAGCAAACAAATCATGAAAAATTTTTAAAAACACGGATATTAGGAAAACTGTATCATAACACAAAAGCATTTGTGCTAATTGAGTGTATGTCTCAAATGTACAAGAACATTCTCTGAAAATTTCATCGTTATCGGTTTAATGAAAAAGCGTGGAGATCAATTTTATTGAAGACGGCTTTTCAGAAACCAAATAATTATTGAATTAATGATGAACATGTAGTATATAGTACAATTTTACAAATAGGATTTTTGATCTTTTATTTTCGTAATTAGTGCAGTCACTATCAGTTTTCAACACATTACTTGTGATGCCTATTTCAAAAACAAACAACAACAGTTAAAAATCGAAACAAAGTGCAAAATCAATTAATCCGTAAAAATTAATTTCTACGGAATTTTGATTATTAATTGTCTATGGCGCTTATTCAAGTCTTTTTTGTTTAGAATAATTACTTTTTTTGAACGGCAATTTCTCGTATAAATCAATAGAGCATAAGTTCTAGTTTCAGACTACAGTCAACGGCAAAAGTTTAAGCAAATCGGTTTTTATTCATTTCTTTTTTGAACATTTGCATTTTTCATATTTTCTTGCACATTAAGTAATACTTTGTTTCCGTGCAAATATAGATTTAAGTACTTTTTCAGTATTTCTCATTTCTTAACTAAAAGATTTGTACTAAAATGAAAAAAGATAGACCAATCAATAGAGAATTTCAAGTTCTGTCCGTTTCTAAAAGTAATTTTCTTCCCAAAGTTGATCTTTATCTTTAAAATCTGATTTTAGTGAGAATAAGTGAAAAAATACAAAAGAGTAGAGTCCTTCAAAACTCATCGTATTAGGTTCATGTCTGAAGATAGTAAGAAGCTAGAAAGTTGAGAAACGTCTCGATGTAAAGAAAATTAAATTCTCGATAAGTCAGCCATAAAAAAAGCGAAAATGAGTATGGAGTAGCAAAAAGTGATCTTTTTCTTGTAGTGCATGGAAGTTTGAAGTTGAAAGTTTTTTTCTGTTTATTTCAGAAATGTAAAAAAATATCAAAAGAGATGGCCTTCTTTAGCTTTCAAGCAGCATATGAACATTTCTTATCTTAATTCCAAGCCATCCATAAATTGCAATAAGAGAGGATTTGAAAGATTTCTGCTGTCTGATTTTTTTCACCTATTCTCACTAAAAATCAGCTTTTGGAGGTAAACATAAGAACACAAAACTCTTTTAAGAAACTGACACAGCCTGATACTCTCTACCCATTAGGTTTTTTTTTACTTTAGTCCAAATCTTTACGTGAAAAAAAAATTATTTTAATTACGAAAAACCTATCTAGACTGACAGAGTCGCCTTCTACAATACATTATATAGCCGGTCTCTTACACTATCTATATCACCATTTGAATCAGATCTGTAGTCCTTGAGTTGAACGAAAATTTAAAAAAAGATAAATTCACTTAAACTTTTGTGACTGATTGTAGACCATACGCTAGTGTTCTGTGAAAACAGTTTTGCCTTATATTTTGCCCGTTCTCGTCCCCTGTAGGAATCGGGAACAGAGCATAAAACAGGCCTACTTTTTCTAGGCCTGGCCTGCCCGTGGCAGGCTTCAAACTTCTACAGCCTGCCTGTGTCTGTCGCTCATTTTCTGGACCTGGCCTGCCTGTCGAAGCCTGTGTATAGCTTTTATGCGTCAATACGGTATAATGATTAGCCTTTTGGTTACGGGATCCGCATTTATGTCGGCTGAGCGTCTACGCAGATTATAGTTTTTACAGTCTTCTATCTTTCTTAGACTATACATTTTTCTCTTTCTCTCATGCTTTTAGTGTCAAAGCATCATTATATGACATCCATATGCATGCATATTAGTTGAAAACAAAGAATTATGGATTCAGAGGTCTATGAGAATTCATAGATTCTAAACTCAAAATCAGCCGCCATGGTTGAATG